AGAGAGAGTAGAGATAAGATGGTTCAGGGCAGAGGGAAGAGATACTGTGTCTTAGTGAGATGCTGTGTCTTAGTGAGAAGATGGGAGGGGAGCAGAGCAAAGCCGTTTTGGGATAGGTAATGGTTAATGGTTAAAAGCAAGATAAATGTGCTAGACATCTAAGGTCATGTAGCACTATAGTTAATGTTAGTGAAAGGTGGTTGAGTTAGTGATTAGTTGTCTAAGCTGGGCAAAGGAATTGGTGAGTCAAAGGGTTAAGGTCGGGTGTTAGATTAGATAAAGGATATGTATGCGTTTGAGGAAAGAGAACAGGTTGTTGATGCAGAAAGTGTGGGATTCTGTAAGGATGTCTGATAGGTTGGGAGGTCGGTGAAGGGAGGATAGGTGGGGGAAAGCAGAGGTACGGGCTGCTTCAAAACATTGGCACGACAATAGGATGTGTATGATTGAAAGGGGAACATTATATAAGGAACATAGGGGTGGATCAGATTGTGACATCAGATAGGAGTGTGTTAGACGGGTGTGGCCAATGCGTAAGCGGGCGTGAGCAGTCTCCCAACGTCTGTTCCGATGAAATGGAGCTGACCAGGAGGAGATTGATAGTTTTACAGAATGTAATTTATTAGTGTGGAGGTTTGACCAAAAAGATTGCCATCATTTATACAAGAAGGTCTTAAAGTGTGGGTAATAATCCGTGGCTGGGATACGTGTGAAGCGTGGTTGGTATGATGTGGACATAGCAGCGTGGCGTGCTAGTATATCTGCTTGTTCATTGCCGGGGATTCCAACATGGCTGGGCACCCAGCAAAATTTGATTGTTTTATGGCGTGTGGACAGGTAGAACAACCAGTTCTGGATCTTACAAACAAGGGGGTTGGTGCTGTGTATTGACTTTATGAGAGTTAATGAGCTACGGGAGTCAGTAAAAATTGTAAAAGAGGAAGAGGAGAGTGAGTATATGTGTTTTAGGGCAAAAAGGAGTGAAAATGATAATTGGGGATTGGTATTGGAGGATGTGTAAGAAAGGTTTCTTGAAGGCATACAATAGATGGGTTATAAGAGGAGAGGATATGACGAAGGTCAGGTCTGTGGGAGCGGAAACTGCGAATATTCCAATGAAGGATAGTTATATTTTCGTTGATTTAGTGTTATAGATTGCAGTACGTGTTGGAGACTTTGAGGGGGAAGCAGCTAGAGGGTGGGATAAGGACTGAGAGGTTTGAGATGGGAGAGATGTGGGAGTTGGTGTTCTATCAGGAGGGGTATTAGGAGATGGAGGGTCTGAGGAAGGGGATACTTGTGACATAAGGGATTCACGTGTGTATCCAGGAGGGAGTGGAAGGGATAGAGGGGATGGTGGGAGGGTTAATGTGGGCGGGGTTGGGGTCGGGGTCAGGGGGGATGGGCTGTGTTGGGAGGGGGTAGGATGATAGGGTGTAGGGGGGATATCGTTAGGAGGGGGATGGATATCAGCAGTTACTTGGAGTGTGGAAGGAGCAGGGGTTGTAGGTTGAGTGTCAGTTTGCATTAAGTAATCTTGAATATTTTCAATAGTTTCTTCTGAGGAGTTGGTTGGGGAGTTTTGGGGGATAAAGGATTTCTTGTGAGGGGGAGAAGAGAGGACTGTTGTCTCAAGAGTAGGGGCAAAGGATGGTGGAGGTGATTGTGCGGTAGGGGAAGGGGGGGGTGGAACGTTTGTTCTGTCTGTTACGGGGAGTGCGAGGAGGGAGAGGGGAAGGTGTTGGGGTTGTAGTGGTGATTGGAGTATCTGTAGTAGAGATTGGAGTTTCTGGATTTAGGATGGCAAAAGAGTTTGACTGGGGACGGTAGGTGGGGTTAGTGGGGGGGTTAGATGTAGGAGGGGTGGGTTTAGGTAGAAGTGTTAGAATGAGCAGTATTACTGGAGTAAGGAGTACGAGAGAATCCACGTCAACATGCTTCCTGTCTGGCTTCACGTAGTGTGAGTCCAAGTTTGAATCTGAGAGTTGCTACCTCAGATTCAAATTTGTAGGTGGGACAGCCCCTATAAAATACATTATGGGGGCCGCCACAGTTGGCACATGTGCGTGATTGTGCAGAGCAGTTAGATCGGCTATGGCCAGGTTGGGCACATAATGGGCATCTGGCTGTGGAACGGCAGTGTTTGGCTGGGTGTCCTAGACGCCAACAATTTTGGCACTGACGTGGAGGAGGTTGGTATGGACGAACAGGGAGGGATTCTCCTCCTATGCAGACGTTAAAGGGAAGGTCATGTCTACAGAAGGTAATTTTGGCTATGTTAGTGGGTTTCTTTCGATGACCTCTGGGGGGAATGGAGTAGCATTGTACTGATGTTGCATCGTAGTCTGTGAGACAGGCAAGTAGATCTTCTCCACAATCTGACCTATCTTTGTCATAGATTGGGCAATTTGCTGGGGAGATTGAGACTGTTCCGGTGCAAGTATTGAGGGTTGGATGGGGTTCTGCTAGGATAGGGTTACCATATAGGTCAGTTAGTTTTGTTAATGCTATAGCTTGGTTTTCGGATGTTACTGTGACAAGACGGGAGCGGTCAGGTCGGCTACGGAAAGAGACTTTACCTACTTGTTTTTGGAGGCATTGTTGGAAGAGAAGGGTGTTGTCAGAGTAGGGAGCTGTGGGAGGGATCACGAAAAATCAGTCCCATTTGGCTGCACTGAAGAGAGTATTCAAGATTGTTTTAGAGATAGGGGTGGTAGAAGGGCGAGGGCGTGACGAAGATGGAGTAGTGTTGAGGGAGGTAGTGTTATGGAGAGGTGGGCTATAAGGCTGTAAGGTATTAATAAGGGAGGATGGGGTGGTTGATGTTGGAGGTTGTGGGGGTAGAGGTGTTGAAGTTGGGCATGCTGGGAGAGTGGAAATGTTCCTTGAGGGTTAATTGTTGGCTACTGTACTAGTAGGCATTGGTGAAGGGGTAGTTATTGCAGTGTTCGGAGCCGTGGTCAAAGGAGAGCCTGGGGTCGGGGAATCAGGTGGGTTTACTTCGTTGGGGCTATTTGATAAAGGGGCAAGCCTCATTGCCCCTAACAGTGGGGATATATTTTCATTACTGGCCATGGGAAGCCTGGATTATGTTGGGGATAAAAACGTCCACCCCTCAGGGTCCCCTTGAGGGGTAAGGGCTAGATAACTAAATCAGGGGAATACCGTGCCCATGGCTCCCTCAGGCCGTTTAGGACTGGCACAAAGTCAGCCTTTCATCCTTTCAGCACGGCTCTCACACCTTAGGAGGTGGATAGCAGAAGGATTTGGTGAAGGGACAGAAACAAAAGTGGAAAGGGAAAAAAAGACCATGCATAATTAGTTGAGTCGAGGGCTGAGTCCCAAGGTTGGGGAGTTCCCCATCATTGGGTCCCAGTCTCCGCCTCCTAAGCCCCCCCACGACAACAACGGGCAAGGGATTGGGGAGGTTTGGGATAGGTAGAAAGAGAAAATCCTCATAGGTATGCTTCTTGTCTAGCCTCACTTAGTGAGGCCTAGTTTGAATCTGAGAAATGCTACCTCAGATTCAAGCTTGTAGGCAGGGCAACTCTTATAAAATACATTATGGGAGCCACCACAAATGGCACATGTGTGTGACTAAGCAGAGCAATTTGAACGGTTTTGACTAGGCTAGGCACATAGAGGGCAGCAGGATGTGGAGTGACAGTGTTTGGCTGGGTGGACAAAATGCCAACATTTCTGACATTGACAGGGAAGGGGCACTCTACCAATACAAACTTCACAAGGAGGTAAAGTCTGCGGAAGCTAATCTTGGCAATATTGGTGCAAGATTTGCATTGGTCTCTGGGAGGAATAGTCTATAGCACTGTATTGCCACTGCATCATAGTCAACAAGGCATGCAAGCAAGTCGGTTTCACAGTCTGATCAGTCCTTGTTGTAGACAGGACAATCAGTCAGGGAGACAGAAACAGCTCTAGTACAAGTATTAAGGGAGTGAGGTTGGGCAGGAATAGGTTTACCCGTGAAGTCAGTCAGGCAGATAGTGCATGAGCTTGGGACTCAGGTGTAACTGTGACAAAGCATGAATGGACAGACTGTGAAAGGAAACTTTGCCTATTTGTTTTTTGAGACATTGTTGGAAGAGAAGGATATTGTCAGAGTATGGGGCTGTAGGGGGAAGCACAAAGAATTGATCCCACTTGGCTGGCCTAAAGAGGGTATTCAAAAGGTTTGCAGAGGTGGAATCAACAGAAGGACAAGGGCTGGAGGAAGATGGGGTGTTATGGAGAGAGGCAGTACTGTGGGGAGAAAAACAATAACGATGAAGATTAGTAATAAGGGGGGGTGAGGGTAGACAATGAAGACGACTATGCAGTAAGAGATGGAGTGTAGGATGTTGGGAGAGAGGAAGGGGTGTGTTCTGAAGGTTAAGTAATGGCCTGGGTGGATGATTCAGAATGGATAGAGTAGACAGTAAACATCAAAAAAGGGCATTTAGTATCAGTGGTCAGAGCTATGGTCAAAGGAGAGGCAGGGGTTGGGAAACCAATGAAATCAAATTTAGATAAGCTAGTTAATGAAGCAGTAAGCCTTACTGCCCCTAATCAGGGTAAAATCTTCATTACTGGCCATGGTGAGCTTGAAATAAATGGGAAGAAGAAATAAGTATATCTCAGGTGACCCTATGAGGGGTAAGGGGCAGGCGATTAACCAAAGGAATACCATGCCCATGGTTCCTAGAGGCTGTTCATAATTCACAAAGCCAGCCTTTTATCCTTTCAGCACAGCTCTCACACCTTAAGCAATGGACAGAAGGGGATGAAGAAGAGAGGGAAAAGGAAAGAGGGAGAAGAAAAGACCATGCAAAATTAACTGACATAAGGGCTGAATCCAAGGTAGAGTGATCCCCTATATTGGGCCCCTGTCTTCGCCTCCTTAGCTCCCCACGGCAACTAGTAAGGGATTGGGGGACGGCTAGAGCTAGCTATAGAATTTTTAAAATTTATTTTCAAATATTGGAACTGTAAATTAAACAACATTATGCATTAGGAAACTTTTATGCATTTCATATCTTGTACATATAAACAAATCTATACAGTATTTACTATTTCACAGCACCCAAGTTCAAGAAATGGTAATTTTGCAGTTAATGTGCTCTACATAAATCATTGAAAATTCCTTCCGGTAATAGATTTTCTGGACCTTTACACAGTATAAAGAAACCAGTATTTCTACAATTCTACTATATAAACTTGAAGAAACTCATTTTAAAAAGAAAGAGTTTTGATATCTTCTCCATACAAGAAGTAAATACATTTACAAGATGCATTTCCTCTTAATTAATCCATGGAATCTATTCATGTGGGAAAAAAAGGCCAACTGTTCCACTCATTAAAGAATACAGTATCTGAAAGAAAAGAATATTCTATATGAATAAACTGTTGTATTCCATATAATTGATTCCTGTTTTAAACACTGGTGGCATTTCCATGGTTGGAAATATTTCATAGCACTATGATATTCTAGTCGCACAATTCAATTAACTCTATACCTGTGGTATATTTTCTTGGTAACTTTTCAACACAATCAGCATACATACATTTTAAAGATACAGACCAAAGTACTTTTCTCTGGTATTATCAAGTAACAAAGGAGAAAAAATAGGAAAGAGGATTTCTCAACTGGACACAGTGCAATTTCATTCAAGTAACTAGTCTGTCTTTGCTTAACATTTTTAAAGCCTGAATTACAGAACACCTTCCTTTCCCTTGTATGGAGTGTGCATGTGTGAGCATCACATAGCCTTCAGCATCATCTGTTTGCTATTATTGTAACATGTTTATGAAACATTATATAGCTTATCAAGATTCAAAGTTATCAGTGCCTTATTTGATATAGTTTTTCTTTTTCCATTTTTTTTTTTTTTTTTGAGGGAACAAATGATTTTGCAGATTTTATTCCTGCACTTAAAGAATTTAGTTTCTGTATTTGATATTTACTATTCTTCATGCAGTGTCACATATGTTGCAATTTTCTGTATTTATAATCAATTTCTAGTTATATTAGAAAGACAACCTACATATATACAAATTCTACCAAAGCACTTTGTTTTACCTTTATCCGAAGGTATTTTAAACTCAGGTTTAATTATTTCTAATATCATTATTTATAACTCATGAATATAATTTCTTAATTCTTCAGCATTTCCTAATTCAGACTTTGTATATCATATTTTACATAAAGTTATTTCAGTATCTCCTTTCTCTAAAGACTAAGATTCAGGTATCACAAAAAAACACACTTAAATTTCACTTTTCTACTGATTAACATAAATCAGAACATTATACAGACTGTGAATTTCCAATGTAGTACAATGAAAGTAACATGACTTCTGTTTTATAACCTTCTTTTTGTCCTTAGACATGAGAAATGCTATATTTTTTGTGAGCTTAATTTAAATACAAAACTCTTAGCTTCATTGAAATGCACAACATATATGAAGTAAACTTCAGCAACTTGTTCCTTCTATATGGAAGAAATGAGGCCTTATATAAAAGTATTGTGCACAAAAACATAGCTAAAATGATATATCACTTTTTACAAAGAATACAATATAAAAATAAGAGTGCAAATAATTTCTTACTGGAACTATACATGGACAAAATCTCCTTCAGACTTACAGCAATAATATATGCAGGTACTTGTAATCTTCTGATACAAATAACAAGAATACAGACCAATTCTAAATTACCTAGTTTTTTATATTTTTTGTAGTTTTTTTGTTTCTTTTTTCCTTCTTTAAATTATAATACATTTATTCTTATTTTCTGTTGATTTGTGCATGGAACTCCAGACATACTAATGTGAGTTTCAATATCCCTTCCATCTTCTCTATTTGGCAGGAATGGACATCACTTTATCCTCACATGATATCATCATTCAGGTCATAGAATGAGTATTGCCAATATTAGCAAAATATAGTAATGGTGACTATTGAATCAGCACTATGCGTAATTTTCACTTGAATTTAAACCATACCATTCAGTAGAGGAATAAACCTTCATATATATACAATTCCAATTTTTTGAGTTGGGTGTTGCTCTATTACTTCAGTCAGTTTCTTCTACATGACTGCCATCTGTCCCTAAAGTACATTTAAATCATACTTTACTTAAAATAATCATAACAAGAAGAAAGCCCACTGGAAATCAATCTCTGAAACTTGCTGCTATACAAGTATCAAATAACAATCTTCTAGTTATTTCTTATCATAATCCATAACTCTCTCCACAAACCAACCTATTATAATTTATTTCCCCAACAAATTTTAAAAAGTAAAGAAAAAAATGTAAGCATATTTCCTTTATAATAATGCTCGAGGCTTCTAAGTTACCAGTAATTCTGGATCCAGTTTTAATAATAAAATTTGCCTTATTAGATGCCTTCCAATAGTAATTTTCTTAGACTAATATTCCAAAACCATGGCATAATAGTCATCAACATTGGGATATAAAAATATACAAAACAAACCATAACTA